CTCTGTTATTATTTGAAGAAATGTAAATTATTTGTTTTATTTTATAACAATTAACATTAAAGTATAAGATATATATTTTCGTGCTATATAAATTTAGTGCGTACCCAAACAGCTAAGCGACGCCAAGGCTCTAGATCTGGGTGGCGTTAACCCAGTTTTAGTCTTTGAATGTCGGTATCAGTGTTGTGACCTGACCAGAGGTTACTCATAAACATACGCCATTGTTTTGTTATGTAAGCATTTTTAATGTACGTCTTTTTATTAATACTAGAGTAATCATGAAACTGCTTTTACGTTATATCATAAGTTGATACAGTTTTTTGTTTAAGCCTATAATTTAACTTTGGATTTGAATTCTTTGAAGATAAATGAAAGTCTACTTGCGTATAGTTTAAAAAAATGTTTAACATACCTAATATAACTTTAATTTTGGTATAGTTTCATAGCAATGTATGTTATAAAAATATAGAATGTTATCACTATTCTGAGGTAGCGACTTAACCTTCATATATTCAGGTCAAACATGCAATCCTCATACCATCAAACAATGTTAGAAGACGTTCGTTACAAAAGATATACTAGATAGTTAAAAAATATCTTGTATAATAATATCTCTGAACTGTATATAGATATTAAAATGGTGGGATATGCATAAAATTATTCGAAAGTACATAGAATATTCCCAGAATGAATCTTTGTACGAAGAACTCTACAAAGATCCTATTTATAATAGATAACCATAAAAAAGTAAATATTTATTTTTAAATATAAAATTCATGATTCTATATGAAGAATATGTATATTAAAAAATGTAAAATTTTTCAAATTGATTTTATTAAATTACTGAATCTTGGTAAACATGCAGAGAAATGTCGTGCATTTTTTAAATTGACCCAGATCCTTGCAGGGTGAAAAAAATATCACAGCATTTGCCTTATCATATTATTTGAAATCTTGAAGTGACATTTTAAATTAGCTTCTTGATGTTTACTCAGATGAAGTGGAATTGAGCTTCACATAATAATTTTATTTCTTATATATGTAGTTATGTATGTAGTTATTTCAAGTGAAAGAAACTTTGTTTTTAGAAACTAAAAAAAATAAAAATAATCTAGTGCTAATAAGACTACATTAAGTTGCCCTTTCCCTTTTTCCACCTTTCTTTCCCTTTCCTTTCCCTCCCTTTCCCACCTTTTCCTCCCCCTTTCCTCAATTAAGGGCGACAACACATCAACAAATCTACGTTGCGTATGTACATGGGCGACGGTACTACCTCCATCAGGTAGGCCGTCTGCTCTCTTGACACCTTTCACATAAAAACAATGTATTTAGTCTTAAAATATACTTAAATATTTGCTTTAATAATGTATTGGTAATGTTTAGGATGCATATACATATCTTTAACAGAAACTTGTACTTCCAACTTTGGAGTTTTAAGCGACCCTACAGAGCACCGTATCATGTCGTGCACGACATACATACATATATTTGGAAAAATAATAGTATTTCAATATCATGTACAAACCCAAATATATTAAAGTGGGCGTTATTATTTATTAATGACATCCAAGTCATTTACTATTTTTATATCTTACAATTTATTGATATACCTATATCAAAGGAATTATAGATACATATTTTCTATAACAACAATACAGACAGTTCAATAATAATAAAATATAAACTTTATTTCATATGTTTATGGTTCAAAATGAAATATATTAGAAATCATGAATAAATTGAAACGATTTACTTAATAACACTAAAGCTTCAAGTGAGTTTGAAGAAATTGTATGTTATTGTTTATTATGAAAACAAAATTATGCCCTTTCCCCGATTAACCTTGAGAACATGTTAAATTATTTCAATTTAATTAGTTAATAATTCCAAGTATTCGAAATTCATTTCATACGAACTTCTTAGGACTCTTATTGGATGAATTTCGAAGAATCCGTTTAGATTTCATACGGGTTCTATTAATTATATAAAATATTTTATCACAAAAATACGTTCTTATCAAAATTTCGTGCTCATATATTGAAAGTTTTAAATATTTTCTTAATAAGAATAAGGGGATTGATTGGTATACTTTATATAGATACAATGTCTGTAATTCTTGTTTCATACTTTCTTACGGATATTTTATGGATAAAAAAAAAATTGTAGGCAAGAGAAAACATAAGTTATATATAAATTTTGATGCCAATCTTTACAGTTATAGTCGACAAATCAAATTAATTTTACTTCATCAAAGTTCTAATGGCCTTAGATGGGCGCTTGCACATACATTTCCTATCAACCGGCGTCAGGGGCTTTCAATTAGTTAAACTATAAACTTATAGTTTACTTTGATAAGTCTCGATTAATTTTGATGTGGCTCTATACAGCTTAAATGGACATTTTAGGCACCATGTTAGATTATGCTCAATTATGATTGACCTTTAATAACCTTGGCTATTCAATAATGGATGACTGATTTGTGAAACACTTTTATTTTCATATTTTTATTTCCATATGCTATGAATGTAAAAATCCACTGCAGGTATTTAAAATATTATGCTTGCGAAGCCAGTCTATTCGAAAATAATTGCATCTCAAAAAAAAAAGCGGACAAAGAGGCATACGAATGAAAAATCTAATTTCAACATTTAAAAGCGCTCTAAAGGCTTGTCTTGTCGAGACTACAAGGAACGACAACGAGATAAAAAAATATTTCCAATCGTTTATAGTGGAAGATGCACCTGCTTTTCTTCAATCATTTACTTTTATAGTTCTTCTATAATATTAAATTTAAAAAAGTACAATTTATAAAGTACATAAAGTGACTAGTTTTTATAAGACTGGTAATATTTTATTTTTGAGGATTTCACCGTTTCATGTTCAATAAGTTTCAAATAAGAGCCTTCTCTTAAATACTGGATATTGCATCTCGTTGCCTATCTCTTTGAATGACCCAATTTGGAATTATTTTAAAAGTAGGGCGCAATTGTGACACGTCATTACATTGTTTTTGTATAAAACTTGTGTCCGAATATTTTGCAAAAATGTTGAATACTTACTTTAGAAAGTGGACATTGCGTGCTATTCGGTGTGATTTATATTACTTTGGGCTTAAATTATTTGCGTTTTAGTATAATATGAAAATATTTTATGATATAAAAATATGATATCGTGAATTGTGTATTAATAAATGTGGTCGATGTGAGTGACCGAAATTAATTATATATTTTTGACCGTTTAGCCATAAGTTTAGTATTCGCAACATTGTTATTTTAGATATCTAAATTGTTCCAACTGAAAGATGAATAAGCGAGTAGAAGATGGATTCAATGTCCACCAGTTTTCCTATAAAATTCAAAATCAATATCGTTCAATATCAATTATAGATTTTTATCAGTACAATGTATACAAGAAATACTCGAAGTGATGAATTATGACACGTCTACACAATGCACATTTTAAAAGTACATTTTTGAATTATATTTATAGTATTTAATATTTTTTATGTTTATGTTTGCTTCTTATAACTAATTAACTATTAGAAAACAATGTTACTTCTCGTTTTATATATAACCGTAGCATGTTGGTTATTAATAAAACACGACGTGCCCTAACATCAGATTTACAAGTATCATAAATAACGAACTAGACCACACCGTCTGGTTACAATTTAATGAAAAGAATAATGAATCAAAAAGTTTTATTACATTGATTAAGGTGCTCTATTATCAGATTGTGTAGCTGAATGTTTGAAACCCTGTTTACGATACGGCTTTGGGTTATATGAGATGTTTTGTCCCTAACACGATACTGGATATAAAGCTAATGAACCGTCAGAAGCAATATTTCGATTTTATTAACCAATTTCAATTTAATCATGCGTTAATCAATAGTGTCACCGGCATGTTGATTGTGAATGGTTTACCTTATTTAAATGATTGTCGTATATTATTAAAGAATTTTAACTACTATATATTGGTAATAAATAAGTTATATAAATAAATATTATAATTCAGACAATCGTAGTATTATGTTCACTTTCATTTTATTTTTAGAGATATATTTGTTTTGAGTGGAGTTTAAAGTACAGGTTTTACTAGATCTTTCTTTACGGCTTGGTGGCTAGTTAAGTGCTAATATGTTATTTACCAATTTCTAAATCCCTCTTATTGACTATTAATGCGACGTGAAATTTAATTTTATACATATCATTATTACAAAACATGTAAATCGCATTACAATAATCTTATTCTCTTCAATTCATTCAAAGTAGCTATAACATTATCTACAGATTTTCACCATTAGCTTCAAAGTTGCGTGCAAATTCCGATAATATCGATGCATAGAAAGGTTTCAGTTTTAGAGCTTAGTGGAAAGTAATATTGCTATACGATCAACATTAAATGACTGTCCAATGTAACAATTTGTCTTGCTTTAACCAGGTCACCGAGAGTTTAAAGAACCTATAAATGTTTTGGTGCTAAAGAATTAATGGTTTGTAAAAAATATATGTACAATGAAATTCAAAGAATTTTCTTTGTTACTATTAAGAAAGTCTTTGTGTCGCATACATTAAAAAAGTTTAAATCTGCATGTTTACATGAATCAGGTCACAGATTTATATAAGTGCTAACTTATGAAAATCAATGATTGCCGTATAAACAAAAACAAAACCTGTTTTTGAACGTTTCTTAATATTTATACATTGGAAGTTTATATACTTTACTTTTCCGAAATTACTGATATATACATTGCACTACAATCTTTCTTTTGTAATAATAGTAATTATCATCACTACAAACGTCCTACTTTCAGCTTTGATTCCCGCTGTTATAAATTAGATGATTGCATAAAATTGCTGATGAATTTATACAAGAATTGGTTATCAAAGAAGATCCTCTTATAACGACATTTTTTTTATTCCAATAAAGGTATTTGGTTGAGCTCGCTGCCATGGATATGATGATTAATTTTGTGAACTTATTATAGTTTTTACTTACATAGCACTACTGGCTCTTCTGTGCAATAATTGCAATAGGCTACCATCAGCTGCGGAAGAGCAGAGGCTTCGGGAGCGCGCACGCCGTTCGTCGCGCTCCCCTCGCTCACGCCACCTGGTCATCAGGGACTCGAGGCACAGCATCGTGCCACCATCGCACACCATCCGCACAGATAACCACAATCCACGACCGTTAATCCAGTGCCACGGCCGTTAAATGGCCAGTATATCTAACGACTAAACATTATATATTCTAACAAACGCAAACTAGAAGTTTCGAAATTTTTTAACATTTTTTTTCGTATTTTTAATTAACGTCACGTCTTAATTACATCTGATGGTAATGACACTTAGCTTAATTACATCCACGGATACCAAATATTTTGAGCTACAAACATTCCTTTAGCCTTTAAAACATTTTCATCAATTCATTCCTACTTTGATGATGAAATGTAAATTTCAGAATGCACTTGTTAAAAGAAAGTAAAAAGAAAATTATTCAAAGTTAAATATTCAACACTGAAGTACCAATTTCAATCTTTCAATGAAATCTTAACTATTGAAAAATCGGAGTAGCGATAACTTAGGCGGTCATCGAGTAGAAAAGTTTCAACAGCACATTTATATTTGTTCATGGAAGACGAAGTTTACAGAGCGTTAAAGAGAGGGAGTGATTTGATTGAATTTCCCGCGTTTCTAGAGAGGCGGTTGAAGGGATGTGGCGCAGTCGGGTGCCACTTCGCGACTGAAAACCGGTGCCGTAGCCGATACCTAACCTTATGACACCCTGCCCTTACTATATCGTATTATTATGCGCGCACTTTTATGTCAATGTCAGCCTTCTTTGAACTTCGAATGATAGATGACGAAGCTGCTCGTTAGCAGCATAACTCTTTTATGACATAAATTCCACGGTATATAAAAATTATTATCATTACTCTTTCTAAATCAAAAGTGTTGCATTTCATTGCAGACCTTTATACATTAATCTTAATTAAGTTTGAAGTGTAGCAATCATGTAACCCAGTTTTACGAAAGTAAAACGAATAAGATTGTTTCGGCGAATGTAAAATGTATTTTTGTTTAAGCTAATGTAAGCCTGTCTTTCAAGTGAGAAGCTCCTGCTTTGATTTCCGGCCTTCTAAAAATGTCAGCTGAAATTGTACGGCATTTAAGTGGCTTACCTGTTTTGTTATGCCGAATTTAAAAATAAAACGTACGTATTTGTTTATAGAATCAATTTCAATTTTAGTATTTGTTTCGTTAATATTTATTTAAAAAATATTATTTAAACCTAAATTAATTAAAACTCATTGACCTATTGCATTCGAACTTTTTTTAATTTTTTAGAATGGGACGATTCATAGCGGAAATATTTAAAAGGTTTTCCTGCCAATATACGGAGTGAATGAACAGAGTTACCTTAACAATATATATAAACGACATATACAATTTAAACAAATGGAGGAGGTAGGCTCAATTTTAACAAGTATTAACTCGTCTCCAGCACCCAAGATTCGTCGCTGGCTACAAATGAAATACGTGACTTCTTAGATGTCGTGTCAAGCTATTTTCAGATCTGGATTTAAGTGATATTTTTAAGTTCATTTGATACTGCAATTTTCCTCATAAGCAAGATTATAATAATTAAATATTATACTTTATACAGTAAAAATGGGTTAAAACTGAACACAGAAATATACAAACTTAGTCGCTGTGACGATTACTTGAGTAAACAATTTACATAATTTAATATTACATTTTCAATGGCCGACCAAATCTAATTTTCTAATATGAAGGGGGTACGAAGTTCCCATTTTGTCTGTTTCCATCAATACGGGTCAGCGGGTTTCCAACTTGGCCAGTTGTTTACTAATACTTTATATTAAAGTTCTATAAGCTGCTAAGTAGCGTTACTTCATTAACAGTTGATTAAAACGTTCACATTTCTTAGCACTATCTCTAATTAGATAAATAAATATAATTAATAAATTCCTTTAAATTTACTATTGGATTTGACGAAATGAACAAAAAAAATTGTGTCAAATGTTATTATAGGAACCTTGTTCAAAGAAGCGCTTCATATGTTACATTTAAATTCAAAATTGCAGCCTTATGTGTAGAGAAAAAATTTAACATTTTAATATTAACACTGTCGCCTTCATACTAAGCGAACTCACAAGGTAAATTAAAATTAGCAGTCGGAGGCAGTGCTTCTTTTATGTGCTTTCTGAAATTGGCAATGTTCACTGGGTACTAGTCAAATCTTTGAACGTGGATGTGTAATACAAATTAATATTTAATTTGTTTGTATTATAAATTCAAACAAGTTCGGAACCTATAACCATGCTGAAACAATGCATTCTATTTGCAGATTTTGCTTTTAGAACTGAAACCTGTTTAACAATTAATAAAACACTTAATATAATTTGTTTATCTACATTTGTGTATATTTTTAGACAAACAAAATGTTTGTCATCGCAAATAGTTACGTAACGTTGACAATTTGGTTAGTTGCCAAAACTGTATTACCATTTAACAGGGAAAAGCTATCGACTATATTCGATTACTCTAGTTCTAGTTGTTGAAGTATCTGAGAGTGTTTGTTTGCAAATGCCTAAATCATTTATGCCGTATTTATGTCTTCAATAAGATTCTTATATCATATAAATTGTTTTGTTTTGATGTAGATGTTAGAGATTCAGTATCTTATTTTATCTTTATATACGCTTATCCATACGGAAGTTATGTCCTGAAATTTTCGGTCTTTTAGAAATTATTTCGTTTACGGAATAATAATTACGAAGGCGATTAGCGTACGAAAGACCTCTTCAATTATTTTATGCTAAACGTTAATCGATCCTCTATTTTTCACATAATTTTTTGATAGAAATATTTGTTTAATTTATATGTTATGTGATATACTGAAGTTTTATTAAAAAACTATTCTTTTGAAGGAGTATTCATTCACAATAATTTGTATCTCAAAATTCTTGTTAAACCAAAGATAAAACGAGTGTGGCATTGAGAATGAGCAATTATTTTGATAGCAGTTGACGCTGGACATGATCTCGTCCTTTGATATGATTTTCGTAAAAGGTACACCATTCAAACGAAAACTCAATGACATGCCTTCACCTATTAACGTTCACAGGAAAGGTTTATGTGGTTCCAAATGAACCATGAATTTTTCCGGAATATAAATTAACCCATGTGTGTTTTCGTTCGGTCGGGTCATGACCTATATTTATATTAGTATGTAATAAAATGAAACAGTTTCTATGTCAGTATTATGAAAATGTTATACGATAGTCACCACAATATCCACAACAAGACCACAATAACCCTAACAGCTGCAAAGTATTGAAAAACTAAGTATTTAATTACTCATAAAAATATTATGAGAACTTGAAGTGATTTAATACTTATTTCCTTTCGAAATGCTTTTAAAAATATATTATTTTAAATTGATATTTTGAAACTATGACATTCTCATTTATATTAATTGAGTTTTGTATTTTCAATTCACCCATTACCTGTGAGAAATTTTTAATCTTTTTATGTTAGTTAAACTATACGTGTGAGCGTGTTTGTATTTAAGGATTTTTTGTTATTTTAAAATCAATTAAAAATATTCACGTGCATAAAACTCGTCACATTTCAAAAGCTTTAATTGTTATTTCTTTTACCTCTGCGTTGTTAATTATAAATACAAAACATGGCGTTGTAGCTGACAAGTGACATTTAAATATTTTTAAGTTAACCTTTGTAAAAAAAATCACTTTAGTTATTTTACTGTGTCAAGAAAATCATTATATACAAAAGTCTTAAAGTATTTCCACAGAAATTGTATTTATTTTGGTTATAATTAGATGAATTTTTATACAAGTTATTTATGGTTAAAAATGTTATTGCAATTTCACTTTAAAAAAACTCCTGTTTTGCAAACTCCAACTAAAAAATATGATATAGATATTTTTTAAAACTATGATATAAAAATAGATATTTTCAAATATACGCAGAGATTCGTTGATTGGTGTAATAAATAGTTTATAAATAGTATAGTTTCAGTACTAACAATCTGATCTAGCAAATATTATAATTGGTAGTCATTTTAGTGAAGAATGTTATTTAACAGTATGATTAGAAAATTACCTATAACTATGTGTCGCATATGAGTTAAAATTATTCACCGTAAGAACTTCCGTCCTATTAGTACTGATGAAAGCGTTATGTACCTTCTACAGCTTTAAAGGATTTATAATTTGAAACTCTGCATAAACAAAAACGCGGGCAGCAGCTAGAATGTTTATAAAAATAAATTGAAGTAGAAAAGTGTTCAAAACATCTTTGTAGGATGCTAATGAAATTTCTTTTAGACTTAAACATGCAAAATGCAAATGTTTCAATCTTGATCGATACATATTATGCTAGATAATATTCAGCATAATTGTTAAAAAAGGAAAGATTTTCTTGAATTATATTAAATTAAAAATCAAGATTATTACTGGTTGGTATATAAAAAAATTATACGATGTCGAGGATCATTATTTATATAGAACCTTGAGAATAATGGTTTCATGTTGCTTGTTATAAACTATGATACCAAAGGTTCTTCTTTAAAGAAACTTTTTAGAACGATACAGCTCCCAAGTGGCATGTCCAAATGTTGAGGAGGGTGTTTAGAAAGAGGCAAATTAGAGAAATGAATCTAAACGCGTTCTCAATATCTGGTTTAAGTTCTCAATATTACACATATGATATAAAGAAGACTTTACAGCACTGATGTCTGTGATCCACACATTCATTTAAAATAATTTTGATTCTTGCATACATAAAACTATCCTACTTATATATAATATTATAATTGCGAAAGTTTGTGAATGTTTGTGTATGTTTGTTACTTCTTCACGCTCAAACGGCTGAACCGATTTTGATAAAATTTTGTATACAGGAAGTTGACGTCTAGGAATAACGCATAGGCTACTTTACATCCCGGAAAATATTCGAATTTTCCTCATATAAGCGAAAACCATATTTACTTACTCAAGAACTCAACTCCTAGCCAAAACGACATTATCGCTATGTACCTTTTACCGATCTATGTAGGCACGATCGACAGCCAATAAACATTCCTTTCATTAAAAAAAAAGTTATGATAGACA